TATATTCGATTCGTGCCAAGCCAAGCCATCATTATATATTCGATTCTTGCTTTTTTTGATTGCTGAAAACGGCTTGTGAAAGTGAGAAACATGTAGGTGTGTATTTCTATCTACAAATGATTCACTAGCTAAAAAGGCCCCGAAATCTCTGAGAGATCCCTCCATTGACATCTAAAACTTTACGTGCAAGTACTCTTAGAGGAAGAGGAACTATGAATCCAACTGGAATCAAAAATAATTTAGTTAGCAAATATTGGAATGTCTTCACCTAATAACTTCGAATCAATATTCATCTAAAATTCTTGTCTCGAAATTTTAACCTAACCGATAATCCGAAGAGATATGATGTGAAGCACAACACAAGAAAAAGAAATTCATACCAAAAAGTGCTTATTTCTTGATCACACAGGAATTATTGAGGAAAATGTGAATGAAAAAAAAGAGAAGAAAAAAAAGAAAGGAAAAAAAAAATGAAAAGCAATTAAAGAAACTTACTTCGTAATTATGTTGATACGATTGAAAAGTTCCTTAACAAGGTCACATGAACTAGAAGTAATTCTTTGTAAATGAGAAAAATCTGAAAAAAAAAAATGATTTATCAAAAGTTTAAGGATTTACACGGAATTATGATAGTCAAAGAATTGTTGTTCATTTCGTCTCTCAGCATCACGATTTTATCCTTCTTCTCATCCTCTTTCCGACACGAGAAAATCGGTTATTTAAAAAATCCCAGTGATAGCAAAAAAAACCTATCTTCATGTAATTCTTCGTGCGTGAAAACCTTCTTAGTGGAGTGAGCGAATGCGAATGCGAAATCGCATATTTTCCTTATTTTTCATGAATATAAATCTTAAATTATCATGGAATCTATTGAAATTCACTTTAAAAAAAAAAAAAAAAAAAGTTGAATTTTAAGTATTTAAAAAATTTATTAAAATTATACAAATTGATACTAAAAAATATATTAAAAAAATATATATCTTTCTAAATTTAAATAAAACTATTTAACTTATGTGAAAATCATCGTCATTTTCCTTGTTAAAAAAAATTTTAAATTGGAAAGTCGTTTTATAGGAAAGTAAATAAGAATAATTTTTCTTTAATATCGATGCTTGGAAAAATAAATAAATAAAAACTAACCGTTTGTTTAGTCGAATTGGTCGGATTTTTGAGATATTCAGGCTTAATCAGTGGAAAATGCGCGAATCACTTAATAACTACGTATGACCTTTTCATTAATGTTGATCGATGAAAACCAATCATTTTGAATAGATTTCCTTCATTCGTTTTTTGAATCTATTCTTTATATTCTTAGCATATTATCATTTTTATCACAAATACGCTAGTCGAAAATCTGCAAAAAGAAATTATAAAATAAATGATATGTGATAAGTTTATTAAGCGCATATGTTTATCATAAGATATTTTATCATTTTAACCGTTAAATTTTTGGCAAATATCTTACGCAAATATCTTATCTATCTTATCAAAGAATTTTCGTGAAAATAAAAAAAACTTTTAAGTCGAAAATTTTATCAATTGATTGATAAAAAGAAAATGACAAAAAAACGAAACATTACCCATATTTGTTAGTTTAATTGCATATATATATTCTTCACGTTATCTTTTTTCATACGGAAGGTTAAAGTTCAAATCCAAATTGGCACCATTTAAAATGATTTCGATCACGGCACCATTACTGCTTCAATAAAGCAGCCATAACTTTAAATAATATTGTGCTGCAACACAAAGTATTCGAATTTTACGAAACTTCGACGAACCTGCGACCTGTGGTACTTTCCAAAGTTAAAACACTAATAAATGGTTTATACTGGAATTGCAGTGTAAAAAGTACGTCGCAGGCGTACGATTTCATGAAATAAACGATTCTAAACGAGTATAGAAAGCCGAAGATTGTTTAGCTATTAAGAAATTTTTTTCGTAAATTTCAGAAAAAAACGTCGACGTGATTTTTTTTTTTAGCCAAAAAATTTAGATAAATTTATAAAAATCACGTGGGAACGTAATATTTCGCGGAAAAAAACACGTGAAAAATTATTTTTCCATTAAATAATTATATTTGTGAAATTTTTTAATGCAAATTTTATTATCTGATAAAAAATTTTCATTTCTGCTTTTTATGTTTTTTTCAGAGAAAAAATGAACAAAAAAAATTAGAAAAAATAATAGGGAAAATGCCGTAAAGAATCAATCGATAAAGCGCAACGCGCATTAATTTTCTCATTGGAAAAAATTTTTTTAAAATATTTTTGTGAAAAATTTCTATTTTTATTTTATAATCAATAAAGAAATGCCATATAACAATGTTAGCAAAATAATTACAAAGTTATACATTTTTTATTTTTTGCATTTCTAGAAATTATAGAAATTAATCGATAATGGTGGCTAACGAAGGTCATCTATGATGATAAAAGGCTAACGACGATCATCTCTACGGATAATGGGCCAGTGGCGATCATCTCTGAGGACAGCAGGCCAATGACGATCATCTCTACGGATAATGGGCCAATGGCGATCATCTCTGATAACAGCAGGCCAATGACGATCATCTCTGAGGACAGCAGGCCAACCAACGATGATCGCCTTATTAGATATTTTAATAAGAGTTATTAAAAAAAAATAAATTCGTCGGTTATCCTATAACAGTTGCCAAAAGTCAAGCATTTTCTTGGAAGCAAATAGCAAATTTCTAAGCTATTTTTGGCTGATATACCGAGGCACCGGGGCTATATAGGTGATTCCATTTATGGATAATATTGCTCCATTTTCTATTATCACCACAAAATTTCACTGCAGAGGTGATTAGCATTAACGTCAAAGCCTCTTATGCTAAATCGTCATGTGAATGGTAGAACTCTGGAGGATTCAGGATTTATACTGATATCAATACTGATTTATCAGTGATTTTTACCTTGAAATATTTCGTTCAGTTATAAACGTGAGGAGACCGTCGAATGATATTTTGCTTTCACTCTTAGAAAAAACGTCATGGATCTGCTACAAGCAAAGTTCAGAAGCACACTGTGGACTTATTTGGCTTCTTTCCATTCTCAAGTGGGTAGTTGGCCCAGCCAAATTAAAATCGGTGATTTCCAATATTATAGACTGCAAAAATATTAGCAGCACCTCTTATTATTATTGTTTAAAAGTTATACTTTCATTTTCTAATCATTGTTATAAAAAATTTATTGATATGTTTCTTTATTACTTTTATATTTTTCCAGATTCAAACACCGGCCGGAAAATTCTGGGATTTTTGAAATGGAAATTGGCATAACCGAAATAAATTTCATAAGAGAATTTAAGGAAGTCATGGTAAACAAAGACTCCAATTCTATTGGAGAATCTGGAAAATCCCCGCAAATAGTGAATTGAAATACTACAAAGGAGTACCAGAAAGACTCGAATAAGTACCACTTCATTAGTTGATAGGGTATTTCACTTCGCTGGCTTGAAGTTTTAGTTACTTGAAAATCACACATCAATGATTCATTGTTAGCGGATGGGATGGTTTAGTGGGTTTTTGCTCAAATTCAGAGCGTCTATACTAAGGTTCTATTCGCCGTAGGAGTAAATAAAAATCCGGGTTGTATGCTGGCGACTCACTTGTATTTCCATCGCCAAGGAACTCCTTGGCATATTTATTCAGTGGGATCAAGCTAACGGGGCGAGTTTAACCAGTAATGGTGAGGACTCTTTAAAAAAATAAATTGTTAGACTTCTTCTAAATAATAAAAAATAAAACAATAAAATTAATAAAAAAATTCGTAAAAAATTTGAAAACTATAAAACAGTTTAGGGCTTTCTTTTTAAATGTTCTGTGCTTTTCTGAAGGTTTTTTTTTAATTCAAAGGATGATCGATTAGGATCTCGTTCTGGTACCATTATAAAAACGACCAGTAATGGAATCAGATGGGTCCGAATAAGCGGTTATTATAATTCTATGAATAGACCACAAAGACTGGAATAATAACCGCAAATTAAATTGGTTATGAGGATCATTAGTGGACTTATAAATCGGTTATGGTCAGACCAGAATCAAACAAAGTCGAATTTGACGATTTGTAATCTTTTTTATCATCGTGAATTATTGCGAGACTAAATTCATTTATTTTATTTTTTTTACCTTTGAATTTCCTTTCTTTTTCTCATTTAGCTGACTACATCACCATTTTTCGCCTTCGCTTTTATAGCCTCAGGCCTTAGTCTAAACCTAATGCAACCAAATTGTGCACTGTGAAATACTGGCATAAAAATTCATGCGAATGTCTTATCATATCATACCGAATGCAGAAAAGTCAGTTTACTTAGTTTATTCACTATCTAAATTTATAAAGTTGGTTTTGGCTTGTGCGAATGATTTTTGCAGAGATTTCTTTCAAATTCATAGCCTTAAAATTATATTTTATTTGATTTTGTTCTATTTATTATCTTTTGAAAGCAACGAAACCAATTTTTATTTCACAAATAAATAATAATTAATAATAATTTAACATAGAAAATACAAGAAATTTCTTATAAATTAGAAGGGAAATATAGAAAGAAAAGAAATTTTTTCTGAATTTTTCATTTTCTATTTTCGAAATTCGTGAAAAATTTTACATTGGTTTTTCCAGCAATCTGAAAAAATTGTTTGTTTATTTTGTTTGATTTATAAAATTTATCAAATTTCATATTGGTTCCACACATTTTTCCAGTTAGGGAACATGAAACATCAGAAATCTTTTCGTCAAGTGCCCACTCTCTTCCCGCACAGCGTTTAGGCAAAATTTCAGCTCGAAACTAAAGATGGACATAACTTCGTCTTTGCTATTCAACTACTGATACTTTTCACGTTCCTTAACGTAGCATTTAAATATAGTGAACTTTCAAAGCTTTAAACAATAATAATTAGTGAAATTTAAAAATTCATGAAAAAATTCTTCTAATTTTAGTATAGTTTTGCAATAAATTTAGCGTAAAAAGACCTCAGTTTCAGTTCATATTGGAACTCTGTCTTGCTTAATGCACTGTCCATCCTTTTTCACATAATCATTGACGCAAGTGCATTGCTGAATGCAAACCGTTGAAGACAGCATACCCAGTCTCATGCGTAAAGACTGACGTACGGTCTTGAAGACCATATTTGTTCCACATTTCTGGCCTGTTAATGAACATAGAGTATCAGAGATTTCTTCATCAAGTGCACACAATCTTCCCGCACAGTGTTTGGGTAATATTTCAGAAATTCGCTGAAAATTTACTTGTTTATCAGCTGTTATTTTTCTCAATAATAACTACTAATATGTTGTTTTGAAATTCATGAAAAAAATTCTATTAATTTTAATATATTTTTGCAAAAAATCTGTTGTTTGATCATAATGAATCTTTAAAGTTTTCAAACAATAATAATTAATGAATTTGGCAAAATTTTGAAATTATTCATAAAAAAATTCTGATAATTTTATTATACTTCAGCAAAGAATTTAACACAAGAAAGACCTCAGTTTCGTTTCGCACTGGAATGTTGTTTTGCTTAATGCACTGTCCATCGGTTTGCACATATTCATCGCTGATACATTTGCACTCTTGAATGCACGTTTCAAGATTTAATATTTCATCAGTGTAAATTAATCGTTCAACAGTCTTGTAGACCATATTATGACCACATTCGCTATTCGTTTGGGTGCAAAATTCATCGTAAATTCGTGTGCATGAGTTCCCAACAGAATACAAAAGAGCCTAAAAAAAAGGGCTAAAGTTGAATGCTTTATTGAATGGTTTAGATTAGTTGCTTAGACTTCATATAAAAGTTGAGAAATCTAAAATATTTTGTTCATTAGATTTGAAAACGAAGTTATTGAGCTTTTGCTTAAATTACTAAATATTATAGAAAAAATTTTATTACAAATATTGAAATATTAGAAAAAATTTTTTACCAGAGCAATAGTTAGAATAACCATGGTTTGTAAGCGAAGTTGACTGATAACAAAATGATATTTCTACTTAATTGTGATTTTAAATGTAATTTTTAATTAATTCCACCCAAAAATATTCAATTCATCAGTGTAAATTAATCGTTCAACAGTCTTGTAGACCATATTATGACCACATTCGCTGTTCGTTTGGGTGCAAAAGTCATCGTAAATTCGTGTGCATGACTGTCCAATACAATTTGAGTGGGCCAAAGGGGATATGAACAACTGAAATTACATTTATTAAATGATGAGAATAGGTGTGTAAATTCTTTAGGATTAATAAGAGATACTTCCTTTTTACGATTGCAGTTTTCTCTCGAAATTTACGAGATCTAATATATTTCATTCAATGAAAGCGAAATAACTATTGAAATTGCCAAAAATAAAATTATCAAAAAATAAAATTTTTACCAGAGCAATAATAAGAATAACCATCGCTTGTGGGGTTAGGTGAAAAAATATGCTATGCTATTGTCCTATTTTCATTTTATATTCAATTTTTAATTAATTCTAAAATATTTAAATATTCCCGATAAAGTTGAAGGTTTCGTTAATTTTATTGTGACACCATAAATATGCACAGAATTTTGCACTGCAAAAGATTATCCGCAAATCGTTTGATATAAACAGGCGAAATCTTAAAAGATTTACGAAAAACGGTAGTGCACACATAATGACGGCAGAGCTTATCAGTTGATTAGGTTGATATTCCGTTAATCATGAGCAAATGAAGAGCTTAAGACAGAAATTTGCATGCATTGATAAAAAAAAGGATGTTCAACGATTATGACCGATGTATTAGAAAAATTTATTGAATATTTTGAATATCATGAGATGACAGATAAAAAATTTCACTTTATAGCAACCATTATAATATCAAATGGGAAAAGCTGTTGCAACGTAAGAACTTTGATAAGCCTTATCACATAACATTCCGTTAAAATTTTTCTTTAAAGCCACTTGTTAATGGTTATATTCTGCGGAATAATAAATATTCGATATAAATATAATATAAATATTCTATCCATCTTTTTAAAGATTTTTTCAATTATTTTTTCAATTATGTGAAATAAAGGAAAAAAAAAATGGTTGTTGATATTTTCATTTTTCGTCCTCTTCGAATTTTCTAGTTCATTTATAAAATTTAAATAACTAAATAAATAAAAACAAAAAATGCTGTTCCACCATAAATACTTTGTGAGACGAATTTCAGCTCTATTATATGCCACGCTTAGGAATCCGTGAAATTTTGTGGATGAACACTAGCAATTCTTTAGAATCTTCCCACTTTATAAAGTTTTAAACTTCCCAAAATTTCCTTCAAAAAAAAAGAATCAAAATCCGAATTTTTACCAGAGTTATAACTACTATAATAATAATTTTATAATTTTGCAACGAACAGTGATCGTATTTTTAAAATTCATATTAAATTTTATATTGATTTTGCCATTGCATTACATATTTTACAACAGTTAACGAAATATTAAGAATAATTAATGATTTTTATTCATAAATTCGCAATTTTTATTATTTATTTAATCATATTCAATTTTTATCAAATTAATTTTCATATTCGTTTTGTTCAAATCCACAATTTTGTATATTTTCTAGTGACATTTGGTTTTCGATTCAATAAATTACTATTAAATTTTAGTCATTTCGTAATTTTAATTTTTGAAATTTTTTTAATTTTTTCCAGTTAGGGAACATGAAATAATAGAAATTCGAAATTTTAATAGAAAATAATTTGCTAAATTTATTATATTTTATAACCTGCGATTTTTCTATTTTGCTGAAAAATAATTTTAAAATTTGAAAAACTTTGAATAAAAGAAATAAATTAAAAAATATTTCAAGTTAAAAAATTATTTTTACCATTGACATTGGAGATTTCAAAATAATTATAATTTCCATCCAATAAAACCTATAAACCTATAAAAATAAAATTTGTGCGGAAGATTTTTTTTCTAATTAGTTAATTAATCTAATTAATTAATTTATTTTTATTTAATCTAATTTTAATTCCATTTTTAATTTTTTCCAGTTAGGAAACATGAAACATCAGAAATCTCTTCGTCAAGTGCACACTCTCTTCCCGTACAGCATTTAGGCAAAATTTCAGCTCGAAACTAAAGATAGACAAACTTCGTTTTGAATAATTTTTATCGTAGCTAAAATATTTTTTAAAAATTGAATATTATTTTAATAAAATGAATATTATAAAAGAAAATTTTCCAAGATTGCAAAGAAGATTATAATTTTTATGTTTCTCAAATATCGCTTTTTGTACTCAAAAAATTGAAATTGAAAGCGACTGGTGAAATTAATTCGACAACGCGAATGATGAAAGAATCACACCGCATTATACAGTAGGGATGTCGATATATATATAATAGTCCTCGATGCACAGTACCGATTCCTGGACATAGTGATGTAAAGCGGTGAAATTGATTAATCGCATTTTGAACATACAGGACTAAGGGACTTAGAAGATGGAAAAAAGAATGGCTCAAACTTCTATCAACATCAAATTTCGGAATGTCTTGTCATTTTAGCCAGACTAACTAACTAACAGGCGAACCAATAATGGTGAAAATAATGCTATTAGAATAAGAAGTTGATAGCCAAAATTTGCTACAAATTCGATCGGATAGCTTCAACAATTGAAAAGTGGCTACGAGTCCATTTTGAAAGACATTCGCCATCTCCAGAAATGAATGTTTCGGCGGTCCTTACTCCTGTGCAGGGGAGTATCGGCTCTCTGGATTGAACAAAACCTACTGAGCCATTTTATTCCTTCTAATATGGCTAATGCTGTAACGACTATTTATGCAAGCGAATGTTTCATAATTCCATGTTCCATTATTCAATAGAAATTTTAATTCGCTGCCATATGAATGCGAACTCAAAAAATTAAAACTTAGTTCACCCACTAAATAGATTCATAAGGGAAATTTTAGTTAAATTTATGCGAATAACTGAATTTGATTTTCTTGCAAAGAAGATTTATGATAAAAAATCTTCCGAATCATAGTTTTCGATTTTAAATTTAGTTCAATTTGGAAGCAGCAAAATTTAATTTACTACTAAATAATCATAAACGCTATTTTAATAAAGTTTTAGGATTACGCTTAGCAAGAAAATAAAAAAAGAAAGCAATTATTAAGTTTCAACGAAATTAGCATAAGCAATTTTAGTCAACGTAATCACAAAATTATAAAAAATTTGTTTTGCTGAAAACTACGAGAAGTAAAGCAATGGGAGTGCGCCAATCAAAAAAAAGTGAATATGACAAAAATAACCGAGAACGAATTTTTTTAGAATGA